CAAACTCTGGAGCACTTTGAGCCACAGTACACTGCTCCCAGTGAAGCATTTATACATGTGCCCGGGACAGCAGCACTTTTGAGTCAAAGCAGGGCAGACCTGGGCTGGCAGCTGGCTTGGGAGGTCAGCCCCGGGCCCCAGGTAGTGGCATTGGGCAGTGGAAGGCTGAATGGGGTGTGAGAGTGCCCAACGTGCAGAGCTATGACTAGGCCGCAGGCAGGGGTCTGGCCCCCTGCCTACCATAGCTAACTGGGCATAATTTTTGCCTGTGGCCCTGCCTACACAAGTGTTTGATTGCAATTATTTACTCTGCTGTCAGACACTGTTCCTGACAGTACTGTCCTACAGTGGAGTTAATTAGTTTACTGTGCCCCAATACCACTGCATGTGTATAGACTGTGACTTTACTGTGGAGCTAATTATTCAACTCCGCAGTAAAGTGCACGTGTAAATGCAACCATTGTATATAAGTGGTTGGCACTGACATTTGGTGGGTTTGTTGTTTTTTTTTCAACTCTAATAGTTTTCAGGATGGAAAATTCAGGCATCGTTAAATACACGCGCACACACCCCACTTCCCTCCCATTTATTATATTACAATTGGGAAAACAAGTCTCTGAAAGTGAACTAATTTACCCAAGTGTTAACTCCAAATAATTTCTGGAACAGTAAAACGTCCAGAAACTTGTTTAGACAACCGAAAAAGTTGTATGTAGGTTTCTGCATAAAATATACTTTCCATATGGAGTAGGCTCAAAACATTTAATATTAGACAGTAATGGCACTTGATACATTATGTCTTCCTGAGAGAAATCACAGACCATCACCGGGGACTTAGCCTCTTGTTCTTCCAGCTTCTTTACAACAGTGACATTGCAATGATTTTTTTTCAAATTATACCCTGAATTTTGTGCAATATATTTTCTGGCTGTACCCTGTAACTGTATTTTGTTGATTAAATAATCATTCTGTCTTTAACACAATTTCTGTGCTACTTGAATGCAAAATCCTATTATGTATTCAAAACCAAAAAAGAACTACACCACCCTTAGAAAGGTAGTTTGCGTCTAGCTACTCCTTTGCTTTAGAATCCAGGTACCCTAAACAGCTTTCAATTAGATAAAAGATTTGTCGAGAAGCCATCACACATGCAAGGAACAACACTGCTATTATGTTGGCTCAAAATAATTCTAGGTTTGCTGCTAATGAAGTGATACACAAATCCACAAATCATTATTGGGAAAATGTCATAACTACAGTAAATAATCTAAAAGTTAGTAATGAACTGGCAAACACAACATAGCTGAAACAGATCTCAGCTGCATTGTACATACTTCACCATTTGAAAGAAGTGCAGTATAATTTTGGCATTCATTTGAATGAGAACTTACTTCTTTTGTCTAAAAATGTAGATTTTAAGAAGCTCTCCTGCTATGCAAAGATAAGCATAGGCAAAGCAGAAATTGCTCATATAAACAGATGCTTCTAGTGGTTCAAATTAACAAAGAAAAAAAATTGACAAAAGTTAAAAGGCAGACCAATCGGGGGGAATCCCCCCCTTATTCCAACTGCAGGAGAGACAAAGGAAAATGACTAGGAAGCTATCGCTAGCTCTCTAAATTAGGCTCAACCTGAAAACTACCCACCCGCTTCTTCAGAAAGATAGATTGTTTCACAGGATTGCATGTTGCTCATTGCCTAGGATCCATTTTTTCCCTAGGAAGTTTAGTTAAACTAAGACCAACAGATGCTCAGATACCAGTGACGGCTGCACTAAAGAATGCCAGAGTCACTTTTAAAGTTGTGATGGTCTAAAAATTAAGCTTATATTCATTCTGGCAGAAAAAGATCCTTCTCATCCCCATACGTGCAAACTTCCTAAATTTTTTTGACTTTTATTCTATTCAAAATGTCCTGATCAAGGAGCTTCCACATTTATGCCATCTTGCTGCAAAGTGCCCTTTAAATATTGTAGGGTGGGAGAAGGGCTATCAAAGGACTAAACAAAGACATTCCTTGTGATACAACTACAATAGAACAATTGACAATGAACCATTCATTATGGGAGTCTATATACATGGGGGGGGGGGAAGAAGGAGTTTTGTAATTATAGTGGCTCCTGGACAGCTGCTCTCATTAAAATGCTGCAGCATCATGTGTTTTTAGTGTCCCATGTTTTAAAATGGCTGCAGGGATGCTTTAAACTAAAGCTCGTTTGTCAAGTTTTAGTTGAAGTGCCCCCACTGCCAGTTTGAAATGCAGATGCTGAATACATGACGCTGCAGCACGCTGGAACGTTCAAATTAGAACACTCCAGCAGACTTGATGAATCAATTAGAATGCCTTGGAGCATGTTTATAGGCACATGTATTAAAGAAGGGGTAGCCAGGCGTGCCACGGGTGGTGTGGGCAGCGTCTGCATGTGACATGAAGCAGACTGGGGAAAGGACAGGCAGCACAATGGCAGATATGGAAGGGAGCAGAAAGCAGAGCGGATCAAGCAAGGAGCACAGGACAGGAATCATAGAGAAGTAGGGCTCCAGAGGTCATCATTTCAGACCAGCCCCACCCCGCACAAGGCAGGATCATCCCTATCCAAACCATCCCATACAAACCATAATTTAAACTCTACATAAGACTACCATCATCCTTGACCTAACACCCCAACCTGCGACAGGCAAAGACAGGGAGAAGAAAGCAGAGCAGCAAGCTGGGTAACAAAATACAGGGCAGGGAGCAGAGAGCAGATTGGGGAGGAGAAAGGGTTCAATCAAAGCAGTACTTTGGGAGAGTGCAGGACTAATTTGTGGCCTGCCTTCCAAAAAGGTTGCCCCCAACTATTTTAAATTATCATAGTTGAAAATTGCTGATCAGTCTAGATCAGTGGTGCTCAAAGTATAGCCCATGGGTTGGATCTGGACTGTGGAGGGGAGTCATCTGGTCCATGTGGTCCCTGTGGGTCCGGAAATTAGGCAGCAGGGGAGAAGTGGCAGTATTAACTGCCACATTTCTGGGAGCCCCATGGCACCATTGCACATCACTCTCTGTTGCTAAATTTGTGGACCCATGAGGAGCCTCAAAGGCTGGATAACAGCCTTGCATGCATCCATTGGTCACCACATGGGGCCTGTCTGTGACCGGACCCAACACACAGGACCAGTCCATACACCGGAAAGGTTGTGCAACATTGGTCTAGATAACTGGCTTGAAGTGCCCATGCTGCTAGTTTATCTCTAGCCTAGAGATAGATGGATACTAGATAACTTGGTGGTAGAATTTAGGAAGGGGAAGAATCATAAGGTTCAAGGTTTTGAGAGAGAATTAAAATGAAAGATTTCCTTCTTGGGTCACTACTACTGTTTGACCTCCTCATTAAACAGTCATCATATTATTGCGTCTGTTAAAACTTACTCCTAATGTGACATTATGAATGTTTTAACTGATGCCATATGAAGCAGCTGTAGTCATTTTGTAGCAAAGGCAAAAACTCTTCCCCTACTTATAAGCAGTTTTCAACACTGTCTACTAAAAGTTCCTCAATGAAAGTGATTTCCTTCAAATTTTACATGTAGCGTTACCAAGCACACAGCATTTCTATGCAAGTATGAATCATTAACCATTTTTGGCTCATTTTTGGCTTACAACACCTCTATATTAGTCTCATTTTATTGACCTTGCTGCAAGAAGCACCTTTTAATACTATTTTGCATTTTACTTGTCTGCCTATGTCTTTAGACAAACACGGCTACAACCTACACCTTTAATACCATTTTGGCATAGAATGAAGAGCAAGGTTAAAATGAATGTGTAGAAATACACCCAAACATCCCTCATTAGGCTGATTCTGAAAGGGGGGGGCGTGATATCTTCAGGATAGGAGAATGGTAAAAAGCAAAAAGGGAAAGGGATCTAGTAGTGGACATGGAGAGACAGGGACCAGAGACAGAAGGGCACCATGAAGCCATGCTTCCTATTGTCAGAGGAGTGAACAGAGAGAGATACATGGAAAGAAGGCAAGGAATCCCATGAGAGTGTTCACAGATATGCATAGTGGATTTTGGGAGAGAGAGAGCAGCAGATGAAGGATGGCAAGGCAGGGTAAGTTTTCCACATGAATAAATGCCTTTCCTTCTTTTCCACTGTGACCATCCTTATGTGGCCCGTATGTCCCAGGCACATAAAATGAAAGCTCTGAAGGAAAGGAGCACTGTTTTGTTGGTCCTCCAAATCTGTCTCTGCAGGGGTCTCTACATCCTGCAAATATCATCCATCCACCCTACTTCAGCTTTTAGTGCTTACTAAAACAGAAAAACAAGCATGATCTTCAAATGACAAATACAGAGTGAGCCTGTTAATCTACAAAATAATTCTACCTCAAAAAACCTTCAAAATATAGAAATCTGGTAGCAAAACGCCTATTGAAGTCATGATTATTTATGATGCAAAAAGCACCCACGCCCCTAGTCTGCTAGAATTTGTACAAACTTAGAATGAGACACAAATTAAAACTCATTCCATATATTCCCTTTGCTTATTGCCATCTAAAAATCACACCACCCATCTAGACAGGCTTCACTTTGGATAAACATACAAAGTTAAGAGCATATTACCAGATTTAAAAAAAAAAAATTCATGACAAGAGATCTACCTTTGCTATGTTAAAGCTATGTTAAAGCTCTACCATGTATAACATTATTACCTTTTCTTTTTGTTTTTTAAAGCTGTACAAAGGTAACAACCATTGCAGGTAGTTGTAATGGTTAACAAGGTCTCGCACATTAAGACACCTGATATGAACTCATTCCATAATCCCATGTTTCTTCTTGTTAACATGCCTTCTGCCCATGTTTCAGAGATAAAAATAAATAGTTCCAGTCAACAACACACACCTGCAGAAAATTTAAGAGTTCTGACATATGTTAACTTACCCTTGGACACGGTTAGTTGAAATCTTTACTTCCAATTAAATAGAGTATTTCTTCTGTATATACAGAATACTTTGTTTTTATTTCAGAACACAGCAAGGGTGCATAGTTTAGATTGAACAAAGAAATGGAATTTGTCAGGAGTGATAATAATTGAAGGAAGAATACATGGTATGACTTTTATTTGGTTGGTTCTAGAGGTACAACCGTCTTCGTGGTATGTTTTTTACCACGGTATGCCAAGCAGGTTAAGGCCCCAGTCCTGGTTAAGGCCCCTGGACAGCATAAGGACCACGTAATGATGAGTGAAGTGACTGCATCCCTTTACTGTTTGTTTCTAGACATTCGTATTTTGAGGTGTTTGTTTTTGCAGAATTATTCTTTGGGAGTTATAATACATTTGCCTGGGGTTAAATGGATCCTGTTGATACATGCTTTTAATTTTAACTCATTCCTAATCAATTTTTGTTTATGAACTGAACATTTTAATCAAGATATTAGGCACAGATGAGCCTTTCATTAACACCAGTCTATTTGCATTGATCAACTGCTTTATCGTCCGTCTTATCATATTGGAGTGCCTCTGTCTGTAGCAATCAATGTAAAGGAATCTGTTCTTCATCCACTGATGGTTTGGAAGATACTACATAACTTTTGTTATTTCAGTGACAAAGAGCAACTTTTAGCATTCATTGCTCTTTGCCAACAACAATGCTGCTTTCTTTATATGGGAGATGATCTTCATCTTGACATACAACAATCCAGACTGCTCAGTAGCATAAGGAAATGCAAAAGTTACAATTTACCAGGTAGTGAATATTTACCAGGCAGTATCAGCTATGATAAATGGCTGAAGCAATCCTTAATTTCCCCCTATAGCCAGGCAGGGCTTGTCTATTATCCACAGGCTCAAGCTGCCTCCTTGTGGCACAGTATCACATATGCCAGACATTGCACTTTGACTTTTTTGTGTCCACACATAACCAGTGCGTGGTGATGGGTTCTGGAAGTTTTACAAGCAGATTTCACACACCAGTTCTGTGTTGCAGAAGAACAAAGGGAGAAAATGAAACAAAACAAAACAAAAAAGGACCAAAATCATAGCAGGGTCCTTAATACATAAACATTCACCAAGAACACACATGAAAGTACAAAGGCTAAATATATATATATATATATACATACACACATATACACATATATATATATTTATATGTAAAAATTACTCTCTCAAATGTTTATTACACAATGAAAGACTAATTGGTAAATTCACATCTTGAACATGATCAAAGGGGACTGATCATTTCTTTTTCAAGCCTGTTAGGGCCTTGTTACATAGTAATTTTGGGCAGCTCCTAGAGCTCTTAACCCCTGCACACATTAACACCTTATATGGTTTTAAGCAGTTGTTATGTGGCTCAAAGTTATGCCACTGCAGGGCAGGATTATCTCTGATCTGTACCACCCAGCTCCTGTTCCATTAAGGTGTGGCCAGTTCTCGTAGATGTGCCGCCCAAGCTGAAATCCTCCACTATCCCAGGATCTCTCATACCCCTGCTGATAGAGCAGGGATAGAAGCCTGTCCTGGCTCACTAGCCCCCTAGTGGTAACTCACAGCTACAGCTCCTAGTCCTACCCCTGCCTCTACTTGCAAGTCAAAGCTGCGCGGGTGGGGGACAATCAGAGATGATTTCTAGACTAAGAATATGATTGCTCCACACTCCAAGCTAGCACTAACACCAGCCAATATTTGTGCGGCTCACAGCATAAGGTATAACAAGGCCCCTAGCTAAAAGCCATATTAAAGCAGCTTTGAAAAAAATTACATAAAATTTCACAACATGGTTTCAGTTCATTGCTGGTTTGCTTCAGACTTATCTTTACTAGAAGACTGTAAAAGTCTCCTTAACATTTGATTGGCTATTTGATTCAAGTAACACTGACACTGTTGTTAAAGGCCAAGGATTTTCCATCACCAGAATGGAAATAGTTTGTGAAATTAAGGTACATTTTCTTCCACATAATACCTTCCCCCCCACCCAGCCCCAAACCCCACCTACTTTATCAAATGCTCTGGTACATACATGATTTAAAGAAGAATAAAACAAGACAATTATCACTTTCTTCATTCATGTCTTAACATTACAGTCTCTACAAGGTGACTACCAGTGAATCCCAGCACACTGTCAATATCATCTCCATACCCTCCAGACTGGAAAGAAATGTATGTTTTATGGCTGAAGGGGTTTTGTAAGCTTTAGAGTCACGTTAACCATTTGTGATTTCTCCACATTTTTGTGTCAGGTCCATTGTGCTGCTGAATTCAGAAGCATTACTACATTAAACATACCATCACAATGGAGTGCAGAATTTAGGGCAAGACTCACTGCAATGTTTAGAAAATGTGCAGGGATCTCAGGACTCGATTGCTGCACGGGTGCTCTGCCAATTTTAGTTTACATTTCATTGTATAAACATTTCCCCACTTCTATTTGGTATCCACAGAAGAATTCTGTTAAAAGTTCCCCAGAGATTTTGCTTGCTCTCCCAGTCCTATTCATTTCCAAGTATAAATTAGTAGCTGTACATCTGTTGCTGCTGTTCTGTTTGAACTTGCTGTTGTCCTGACTGCTGTTGTGTTTGCTGTGACTGGGGCTGCAGGACATCAGACTGAGGTACTGCCCTCCACGTCAAGGGATGTTGCTCTGTTATCTGGTTCCCTAGAGGAGCAATGGAGTTCACCAGGGTGGTTAGGTTTATAAAATGGGCCACAGACTGAGGATTGGCTGCCTCTGTCTGTGGCTGGATTTGAATATCGTTTTGGCGATTGTGAAGCATGGCAGAACCACTGACAGTATCAAATGTCACAGTAAGAATTGAATTGTCAAGCTGTAACTGTCGTTCAGGTGCAGTCAGGTGGCCAACAGCCACTGGTTGAAGGTTCGTAAACTGGGTTCCAGCTGCTGTGGTAATGGGAGTGACAGTGATATTTGTCAACCCAACAGAGCTGGAAGGGGCTGTGACATTTGGGTCGCCAAGGGTCACCACCACCTAAGGAAGAAAAACAGAAAATAAAACCTAACCCTTATGATTTCAGACTATCTGTAAAATAACTAGCAACAGGAAGGACTGGGTGGATGCTGCCCATTTTGATGCTTTTACTGCTAATTATAGAGGGAGATCTGACTGCTGCTACAAATGGAAGATGGCAACGAAAAAGACAGACATATAATATTCAAAAAGGTTTCCTTAATTAATTTCAAGTTTGTAGTTCCAACAAATTGGTGGCATGCAGCAGACTAAGTAGTGGCAGCAGAGGGGAGGGATTAAACAGACTCCTCATTCTTCTGAACTTTCTATACTTCTTTTTATTGCAGTTTCCTACCATCATCTTTAAATGCTCAGCTCAGGCAAGTCTGTCAGGATTCCAGGAGCCCAGACGCTTGGAGCAATGTCTCCAGTCTATAAGCTTTCCAGTGGAACTCACCTGCTGAATGCTTTGTACAGCTGAGTTGGTCTCATCTCCAACATTCCCTGCAAATTCTGCTTCTTTTTCTGTGTATTCACTGAAGGCAGGGTCCTCAGGCACTTGTGTTTCCTCCTCTTCGCCTGCTTTTTGCTTTCGCTTTGGGCCACGTTTAGGAGCTTTCATATGCTGCTTACCTTCTGGTAACTCTCCCTGTTCCAGGGCTAGCTCTGGCTGCAGGTATAGAGAGTTTTCAGCATGACAAAAAAGCCTTGCTCAAGTAGTTTAGCTACGCAAAGATCTGAATGAGAGACTATCCCCGAATGCAGGTTTACTGTCTACCCTCAGATGAAGACATCAATATATTAAAAAGGCCAGATTTGAAAGAATGGTCTCACAACCTAGAATTAACTCTGTTATACAGTACTACTCGCACTAAACAGCCTAGTATTGCCTTTGTTTTAGGCATGGGATTTGGTTTCTATTAGAATTCCTCTCTCTTCCTGCCCTGACTTTTACATTCATTCTGCATTTGTTTTTCACTCTTGTCCACTCCCTCCCTGAGTATTCTCTTTTGCTCTCTCCTTTGCCACTCCATTTTTTGGATTCTATAATATTTATCTCCACAGCCTCTCTGTTCACTTATCACCAATGTAAGGCTTTTAGGGCAGGTCCTTTGTTTCTAATCCTCTGTGCAGACAACCAAAATGTAGTGAAATGAATAACTGATAAATAATAACACTTGGTGAACTCTGCCTACTTCTGCTCCATTTTCACCTGGATTTCCTTCCTGATCTTTTTTTTCCCCAAGCCTCTCTACACAAAGCACAAACTAATTTTAGAGATGCTAGACACTACTCTTAGAATAACATACAACATTTAAAATTGGACTTCCAAGCCTATTACTCCAGTTTCAGGAAAAAAGGTTTTTTCCAGCTTGTTATAATCATGCCTGTGAGCAAATGCCAAACAACCAAAGTGTGTATAGGATCCTGAATCCAAACTACTGTGCTGGTGAGAATATTCATATTTTGGAGTTTTTAAGCAACAATGGTAAGTCCTAAACATCAATGGGAAAAAAGTGGTACAAGATGAGGCTGCAGAGCTACAGAAGATTCAGGATTCTGCTGTCGTTAGTTTACCTGAACAATTCCAATAGAGGAGGCATCAATAGTGGTAGTTTCTGGGAGCTGCTCTAAATCATCAATTCGAACCGAAAGGACCTAGCAATGAACAGAGAACACCAAATAAGTTACAGCTAGAGAAGCGCACAAACAGTGGCAGTGTTGCATTAATGAGAAGTCACAGGACAAGAACATACAGCTGAACATGTTAATTGGTGCAGTTTACTGATTTAAAGGATTTAACGCATAGCATTAATAATTTTGTGGCATTCTTTCCTTTCTTGTTAAAAGCCCAGCAATTAAGCCATAACTTTTTGTTTTTGGTAATCAAATCACTGGCATCAAGCTCTTTGGGGAAAGCATAATGTAAATCAACGTAACATGCCACAGGACCAGAGCAACTATGCAGTTTGAAATTAAGCTTAAACAGAAGAGCAGCAATAGCACCATTTTCTTCCCACTCCCTAGACAGATCAGCATTCACTAAAACTAATAAATTTTAGGGATAACAAACTACTGTTTACCTGTCCTGTGTCCTCAAGAAGCAACAAAAATTACAGTGTTCCCTAGCCATAAATCTCTTAAAATGTGTTGTGGTTCACTGTATACAACAGGAGTTATAAATCTGTTTACTGAAGAATGGAAACCACTGGCTGTCCATACTGCAAGAACTTTATTACTCAGCTTTGTTTTTAATGCAAAAGATTAAAACGTTGTACCATTTATTTAGTTTCTCAGCCTAGAGAACAGTTAGGAGTTTGAGGCAAGGCCATAACAATGACAGGGTATTTGTAAATGTGACCAATAATGGAAAGGTTAAGGAAGCAGGCCAATTTTTAATACAGACTGAAGAAGTTCTGAAGGCAAACTTGATGGCTGTCAACAAATACATAAAAGGGATGCCATGAACAGAATAAAAATATCTACTCTGGACACGAGTGAATGAACACCCTCTGTCCCCAATAAATATGGATTTAAGATTTAGCAGAAATAGTTTGAAAACTAGGAAAGAAGGAATTTAGTTTTTTAGAAATCAGCAGAAAATGGTAAGTATAAAAATAAACAACAGAACCAAGCGACATGTTGGTTTAGATCAGTGGTGCTCAAGCTTTTGGCCCCATGTGCCAGATGAGTGACACGCATTGGTCTGCAGGCCATATTGAGCCTGGCATGCCAGGATCAGGCTGTGGGGCCCAGCACTGTTTCTGCATGCTGGGATCAAGCCCCAGAAGCCTGGCATTGCCCTCTCCTGAACCTCCAGACTGGGCTAGGGCCCTGTAGCCCAGCACTGCCCCCTTCTAACCCTCCACATGCCTGGATTGGACCCTGGCTCTGCCCTCACCCAGCCCCACACACTGGGATCAGGTGCCTGATCCAGCACACAGGGTCCACGGATCTGGAAATTTGGCAGCAGGGGAGTGGTGCCACCGCTCTCCCATCATCACATTTTCAGACCAGTGGGGAGCACAAGGGCTGGATGACATGGCGTGGTGCGCCAGATCTGTTCCCCAGACTGGAGGTTAAGCACACTGGTATAAATTAAGGATAGTTTAAATGAGAATCAGAGCTGCCAAAACAGAAAAAAGATGAACTGTATGGCATACCTGAAGTAACAAGGTAGCCAAATAAATATATAATAGGCAATAATTTGTATGCTATGTTACCCACCTCTGGGTGTTTGCGCCTCATGTGTCGGCTCATTGAAGCTCTTGTAGAAACCTTTGTCCCACAAAGCTGACAACTCTGAGCTTCTACCTTATCATGAGTTAGTTGGATGTGTTTCTGAAGCATGTAATCAGTGACATATTTCTTATCACAGACTGAGCATGTCCACTGTTTCCCTACTGACAGCAAACGAAAAACACCATTAGTATCTAGCTCTCAAAGTGAATACTGTAAAGCTGATTTCCAGTATTTCAGAAACTAGGTCAGTTCCTTTAATAACATAGTGAAAAAGCTAATCCAGTACACCAAGGACAGACTGGCAAATTGTTGTCTTTGAAACTATTATTGGAGAAGATTTACCTGTATGAATCAGTTTATGAGTCTCCATTGTGTTTCTTTCGCTAAATGTTTTCCCACAAAGCTCACACATGAAATCTTTGATCCCTGCATGAAAAGAGAATATTTAATCAGAACAATAACAATTAAAAGTATTGGGACAAGTGGGAATCTTTACTAAAACAAATCATTCTCACTGGTCATTTTTATTCCCCAGTTGTGCCACTGTTTGCAAAAGCACTGCAGGAAATACAACCTGTGAAGAAGCAAGTGCCCTGAGTAAGATTTAGCATTGCAGATTAAAGTTCAAAACTTAATTCAAGACAAAAAGAGTACTCAACACTTATCCTATAGTCAGTGGTCCATTTAAAAAGGAAAAAAAAATCACACAGCATGAGGCCAAGGTGTTCCTACTTTTGGAAACCTAGTATCCATATTCCTTTAAACTGTGCTCTTTATGGTCTCACTGCTTTGAGTAGAATTCTTCCTGAAATGTCCAAATAAAGTTTTAAACCGCCCCCGCCCCATTTAGCTAATTCAGTAAAATATCCACAAGATAATGGGTCCTTGGAGGAGCTCTCACCTGTGTGCCTTTTGTAGTGCTTTAGCATATTGACTTTCTGTGCAAATTTCCGATGGCATTCCTTGCATTCGTATTCTTTAATCCCCTTGTGGAGCTTCATGTGATGACGTAGAGCATGTTTTGTCTTCATTCCTGAGAGAGAGAAAGATCTTGCTAAAGGCCTGATACAAAAATAAGGCCACATTCTCCACATGTATCCCTCCTCCAATGGGCAGCAAGACAACTCGGGACAAGCATGTTTCAAGATGGTCCCCGTTTGGTCTCTAGTAGAATGTATCACCAAATGCTTGTTTTTAATAATTTAGCTAGAGGTACACTTTTATGGGTACTTTTGTTTCAAATTCTCCACAAAACCAATGGAAATCATTTGAACAGATATTCAAATTTGCTCAAGTTATAAAGAAACATACATGTATTCCAATTTAATAATTATAGCAATAATTATGCTTATTAATTTTAATAAGTGTACTTATTCTAATTGCTAACACTGAAAAATCACTCTAGAATGTAACAGTTAAGCTGTGATCTTTTTGGCTCTTTCTTGATCTGAAAGTGGGATGGGGACAAACACTCCTCAAATAGCAGAATGACAGATACAAATCTTTAAAAATCAGACTGAAGACCAAGGAACTGAGGAATATAAAATTAAGGGAGAGCTTATGTGCCCCTTTATCCTGAGCAAAGTGTTCAAAGTGCAGGACTCCTTTCACCTTGAGTATCTCCTATCTCAGCATTCAATGTTGGTGTATTTTTTATTATGATAAAAGGACATGCATGAAGTCTCAGAGAAATGGAAAAAAAGGGAATGGTTATACCTTTACCACATTCTGCACACAGGTATTCTCGGATGTTATCATGGACTCTCATATGCTCTTTTAACATGTCCTTTCTGGCAAATGATTTACCACACTGCTCACAGGCATGGCTTTTTACACCTTAAATAAAAAAAAAACCCATCAATATAAAACAAGATCTCTGGTGGAAAATATATGTATTCCTAAAAGCTGACAAATCTCTGGCAATAGATTCACTGCGGAATAACCCAACTACTGAACAGCTTTTTGTATATATACTGTGTCCCAAAATGAATTATGAGATATAGGCAAGGGAGGTAAGATAGGTTTTTATAAGATCCAAAGCAAGAATGAGGCCAAAATATACAAGTAAACTGTACAGCAGGCTCTGACAATAAACTGTAAGTAATACTTTTTTATCAATAATGCTGAGATTTTTTTTTAAGTACAGAAGAGTGGTTTTGAGGGAAAGGAGTAGAAGGAGTAGGAGGATGAAGATAAAGAGTTAGAATAAGCCCAAAGAAATTTAAAAAAACCAAGGACCGTATTTGAACTGGATCCAGAAATGAGCAATGGGGACGGAATAAAGTGGATTAAGGATGACATAATGCAAGAAATCGGCTATGGCATTCTGCTTGTGCTGGAGAAAGGAACTGGCACTTTGGGACATCAGCATGGATAGAAGAAACTGCAGTTCTCCAGGTGACAAAGAAATGAAGGCATGGATGAAGATTTCAGTAGTGATGGACTACACAGTCAATATTTTACTGGATAAAGACTTTATTAGAACATCAGGGCTCTGCTATTATTTACTTTCTTCAAAACTATTTGGTGGAGAAAACTGGCTTGCCATGAAGCATAAATGTTGCAATGTTAATAAAGGGGTTTTTTTGTAATTGTATTTATTAATTAATCGAACTAATCAAATAACAGATTTGACATATAAAGATATACCCATTTCTCCTAAAAATATATATGAAGACATTTATCTTCCACCAACAGTGCTCCCTTAACCCAAGTCAATGTCCACAAGCACCTTGCATTGTGTTCTTCTCTTCCTTTCAGTTTCTGACAGTTCCTTTATATTTCCATTAACATTAAGCCTTCATGTTTCTATTATATAATAATTCACACCCTCTTTTCCCCTAGAACTCTACATAATACAAATATCACTATCTTCTGCTCATCTGATTTTAAATTTATTCAAAATTCGTTCTTAAGTGCTAGCTCACAGATCCTCTACTTTTCTTCAGTATTCAAAACAGTTTCTTACATTTTCTGGTTTACATGCCAGAGATATTTCTTTTTCTTTTTTCTTTAAGCAAATTCCAAAAATGCCTATCCAATTTCCAAGTATCTTTTTCTTCTCTCCTACAAAATATTGATTTGATAGGACAACTTTTCCATTATAAAACTTCCCAATCTTTTTTAAACTAGGCAGCTATTTTAGGGGTGTCACTTCTCTTCCATGTTTTTGCAATGTTGATTCTTTCAGCCACTAGAAGATAAGTGATCAATTCCTTAGGACTTTTACATGTAACTTTATGTTGTACTGTCAGGATGAAACCATAGGAACACTAAGGAGTTATCCGAGTGTAGGCATTCTTTCCTCATTATACCTCTATCCTTCTTCCAGAACAGTTTCATTCTAGGACACATCCACCATAGGTGGTAGAATCTTCACAAATAACTGCACTCCCTACAACATTTTCCTGCTCCTGTACCAAAAATATGTTTAATTGTAAGTGGGGTGAGGTAGATTTCATAGATGTTAGGACTGGAAGGGACCTTGCAAAATCATCAGGTCCAGCCCCCTGCCAAAAAGGCAGGAAGTCAGCCAGGGTCAGATGACCCCAGCAAGGTGAGCATCCAAATGTTTCTTGAACTTATCCAGAGTAGGTAATTGCACCACTTCTGGGGGGAGTCTATTCCATACTCTGGAGACTCGGACAGTATAGAAGTTTTTCCTTATGTCCAGTCTAAAATGGTTTTCCTGCAGTTTGTGACCATTAGACCTTGTCATCCCTTGGGGTGCCCTGGTGAACAGATATTCTCCAACCCCTTATATACTTATAAGCTGCCACCAAGTACCCCCCGAGTCTTCTCTTTTCCAGGCTGAAGAGTCCCATGCCTCTCAGCCTCTCCTCATAAGGCCTGCACTCTTGACCTCTAATCATGCGCATGGCTCTCCTCTGGACTCTCTCAAGCTTCTCCATGTCCTTTCTAAAGTGTGAAGCCCAGAATTGGATGCTATTACTGATATAGGATTTTAAAATAATTTTCTTCTATTATTGTGCAGATGGATCTGAGGACCATTGTTGCAAATGGTCTCTCATTCTTCAATACTAATTTCTGATCCAATGTCATTAACCCACTTTGTCATAAACAGAGTTTTTTCTTTTGTATGACTATTTAAAATTACTTTATATAATACAGACAATATGGGTTTCATAGGTGTGACCAATTTTTTTTCAGTTCTGTCAGATTTATACTGAGTTTTACACAGTACCATAGTAAGGAGGGGGCGGCGAGCAGGGCGACTGCCCCAGGTGCTGAAGTGAAGGGGTGCCAACAGGCGCTGTCCAGCCAGGGCGGGGAATGGGGTGGAGCCGTAAGTGGCTCATTTTGGGGGGAGAGGAGAGAGGGGGAGACGGGGGAAGTGGCTCCCGCCACTGCATGCACTCCCAGGCAAGCATGGGGCGCGGGGGGTGCCCCCTGGATCTGTGCACAAGGTGAGGGCGGGCTGCCACTGCAGGCTTGCCTCAGGCGCCAAATTTCCTTGCTGTGGTACTGGTTTTACCTTTCTTTGGGACTGTGTTGAAAAGTCTCTCAATTGCAGGTATTGTAAAAATGGGATTTTAATGTCACCTGCAATACACTACATTTTGTCAAAAGCTCCATTTCCTTTGAATAATTGTCCAGAATCTTTTATTCCCATGTGTTTCCAAATGTTAACGCTTCCTAATAAATTACTAGGATTAAATTCTATATTGTTATGTATAGGTGCTAAAGGTGATGGATATGAGCTTAATTTTTATATGTTATCCCAGGTTATCATTGTTCTCATAAAGGGGAGATTATATATTGAATGGGCCTGCAATATTTATTTAGTCATGGTAATATAGTAAGCTTGACTGTTGGACAGTATGTTCCCTCTATCTTTACCCAGTGCTTACTGTGAATCAGTTTAGGGGGTAGTTCTTACTGTGGGCTATCATACATATTTTTTTCCTGACAAGAAAAGGTAGGGATTCTGAAAGCTAAATGGACAGGATTTTTTTTTTATATTAATAATTTACAAGGGAAAAAAGAGAACAGAATTTTTACCTGTGTGAATAAGCTTATGTCGTTCCAAATTCCCTATGCTATTAAATATCCTTCCACAAATTTCACATGGATGGATATATCTGAAAAAAACAAAAAAATAAAACAATATTTACATTCTCTTTTGACAGGCCTACGGTCTTCTGCAATCTCAATCTGTACCTGTAAATTGTCTGAAGAGACTTACTAGAAAACTTCCTTGGGGGGGGAAAAAAAGAAGCATAAACCACATCAAAAGTTAAGCACAGCCAGCTAGTACCATGCCTTCACTCATACATTTATTACATTAAAATTCTTTACTTTATAAATCCAGGACTTTAGTCTTTCCTTTTGTTTCCTACTATAAACGAGGATCTAATTGTACAGTCGTGAATGAAACAAATAGTTCCAATGGCACCACTCGCATAATGACAAGGACACAATATGAGCCCAAACAATGTCAATGAATACCGTATTTAAATCAAAAAGAAATTAAGGGATGAATTTTTTCCTGGTATATTAAAGCTGCACAAATAAAGTTTTGGGTATTCCAATACTTCTTTCTCTCCTTCCTACTAATGCCATTACCAAATGCTAATACTTGAAACAGCCACTGTAATCTCAAAAAGTAGTCTTCACATATGATTAGTTAAACGTATCTTACTTTTGCACATTGGGATCAGGCAGGTTCTCTCGATGAATGACCATGTGAGCATGGTAAGTTGCCTTCAAAGCAAATCGTCGATTACAGATACTACAGCCATAGCCTTTCTCTTTGTGAACATCCATTATGTGTTTCAGGTACTCCTTCCCTCTGCCAAAGGTTAACTGTGGAATTGAACAATAGTGAATACATGAGGGGGGGGGAAATCTCAGAAAAAAGGTGACTAGTTAGCTCGCTATTGAGATCAACAGCACAAATAGCCAATAATAAGCAATTCTGCACACATGGAAGTAGGTACCTGTAACAGGGACCCCTAGCCCTGTTACTAGAAGGCAGATCCACCCCTTTAAGGCCAGGCCTTTCTGGGCACAGAATGCTGGTAAGGAAGGGGTTAAAGGCTGAATGTGGCCCGCTAGTCAGCTGACTGGAAGGGGCAGGCCAGGACTATAAAAACCCTGGGGAGAGTGCAGTCAGCTTTGCCAGCCAAAGGGGAAGGAGTGCAACCTGGAGCTCTATAAGAGGCTTGGTGAGCTGTCCAAATGCTGGAAGAGGGGACTACAGAAGCCCTGAGAGATGGCAGCCACCCTAGAAACCTACAGTGGGGAGCTGAAGCATGAACCCGGTGTAAATGTAAGCTGGTATGTGGCTTTCTTTGATTGCATTTTTTTTTTTTTTTAGTGGCTGTTATTGCCCATGGACAGCACTGTCCATATTTTTTTTGGTTACTGACTACCCAGTGGTTTGGGTGAGGTTATCAGGGGAAGGAGGCGGCCTCATTGTGGGGACCCTGGTGCCAGCAAAGGTGTGACTTTTGGGGGTGCACAGACCTTGGTGCTAGTGGGGGTGCAGGATTTTGGGGTGCACTGACCCAGTGCCTGAAAGCACGATCTTAAAAGGCCAGGAAGGTCTGGTGCACCTGCAGTGCAATTTTATTTTGGTTTTTGTTTGGGGTTTTTTTTTGTTTTGTGGGACTAAGCAAGTCTGTCCCCTGGCCTTGTGCTACTCTAGCTATAGGGCTGGTAGCTAGACCTCTAGGCCAGGGAGACCAGACTCCAGATTAGAGCAGGAAAGAGGGATAGAGTCTCAGAGTCCAACCCTGTTTGGTGGGTTTAAACGGGGAGGTCTAGCTAGAGAAAGACCGGGTCAAGGCCTGTGGAGGTGAAAGACCCCAACATATGAAACATAATTGGCAGTCTCCCACTTTCAAGAACCAACATATTAATTTTCATCAAGATGTGACAGGAGAATAAAGAGCGGGACACAAGAAACCTTAGAGGGGACTCCAAGGGTGCCCCACATAGGGCATGGATAACAGGGAAGATGGTGCTGGGGAAAGCAACCTGTTACAGTACCCAATTCCTGATATTAAACAGGCCTATGAAGGACAACCAAAATTAGCTTTTCACTTAAACTTCTTTGAAATGGTAGCTCAGGCTGTTGCTTCCTTGTTGGTGGTACCACAGAGAGCCATAGGAGAGGTAAAGAAGTGCCTCACACCACTCTGTTAGGAGGCCTTGAGTTATTTGAGATGGGATGACTAGAGAGCTACAGCTAACCTCAGTTTGCTGTCAGTGAAAGATTCCTGTAGATGGAGAGTATCTTTTACACTCGTCTTTTCACTCTCTAAGGGGAAGAGGGAAGGATAAACAGAAAATGTTTCTTAATAAAGGGATTATTATTTTGCTACAATTTACTTTTGTGGTGCTCTCCCATAGACATTCAAGAGGGCAACATTTTCAGCCAGAAAGAGCCTTCTTTTTAGGCTGTGGATGCATCCTGGCTGCCTTTAAAGAGGGAGCTGCTGCTTGGGAGCACATATTGGCTGTTACATGTCTACATAATCCTGCAGTGATACAAAATGAGCCTAGTTGCCTGAAAGCTGACCTGAATGAAACAGTTAGGGATGGAGTGATTTTTGCCACACACTATTACAGGATCATTCAGAGGTAAGAGTTGCATTGCAGCAGCTTGTATCTGCTTGACAGCGATGCAGGTGTTAGTCTGTCTAAACCCCTAGCATTGCCAACACGTGTCTTCCACTGCTGTGACCTCCAACACTATTCATGGATTGTTCCATTTGCAAAACTGCAGTTATGCTCCATCACTACAGTTCACAGATAACTTCTTAACATGAATTCTGTTTTTATTTGCAAACACAAATAATTATATTAACTACCCATAAATGTATGTGGCATAGGCAATCAGAAGAGTTACTCAGAACACAGCTTCAGGTGTTGCAGTTTCCAGTTGTTGTTTAAACAACTGGATTCAAATGAGGCAGGAAGTTTAAATGCAAGGTCAAATGTTTGTAATCACGGATATTATGCTAACATCTAGAAGCACCAGTTAAGGCTAAAGCCCAATTTTGCTAAGTAACATGAACATGCAAGTAAAGAAATGGCTGCTGTCCAAAAGACCTTAGAGTCTAAACAGAAAAGGCACGCAAGGGCTAAGAGAATTATCCCTATTTTACAGACGAGGAATTGGGGTTCTTAGCTCCATAAAGGGACTAAATTCACAATTCATGGATATCTGGCTCCCAGAACATAATACACACCACTAAATTTGACACCTAACATCTCCATACTGTGCATGGAATTAATTATGTAAGGAATGGGCATCCCAATTGTCAACAAGCTATAAGGGGAATGATTGTAAGAAATGCTGATAACAAGAGTTGTGCTTGAAATCCTAGCTTTCTCCAGAGTCTAGGCATCTATGAGACTGAGATTCACAAGCTAACCTTTCTGCAGCTATGCACTTAATTTGTCCACTAGCCTACTGTCTCTTTTTTTTTTTTTTTTTTTTTTTTTAAACGGTGGTGGCACCCACTATTTATAGATTAGTTTAGAGCAGTGGTTTTCAACCTGTGGTCCGCAGACAATGTTTAAGGGGTCCACGGAAGATGAATATGATCAGTCATAAATACATACGTGAATACCCACACTTACGATTTAAAGGGGCCTCCCACATCCATTCAAAAATTTCTAGGGGTCCACAAATGAAAAAAGGTTGAAAACCACTTGTCTAGAGGCTAGAGCAATCACCAAGTAAGAGGGAACCTAGGTTTAATGTCTGAGGCCTTTCAAACACACATTTCACGCTTCTGAGGAGTGTCCGCACTACCAGATGTTCTCCATCCTTCTTGGCAAAGCCAGGACTCTTAGACTATTGATATACTTGGCATTACATTGTAAACAGATAAAATACACATGGGGTGCATCTACACCTGCGTTTTACTGCAGACCAAAATACTGGCCCCTCCTTAGTTAACTCAACATTTTTAAAATTCTGCTCAGCATATTTCTTCTTTTAAAATGACAAATAAAGAAATAAGCACACATTAGTTTTAAAGGAGTATTTAAATCTACCTGGCACCTTTTGCAGCTATACTTGTGAGGCTCAGAATCTGCACTTTCATCAGAGTTGTCATCATTTTCCTCTGAAGAGATTCCAATTTTACCAATGAACTCTTCCCTCTGGTGGTCATCCATTAATGCAATGTCCTGTTTTAATGTTGGGAAGGAGATTCTATTTTACTAAATCTAATAGCTATTTCAGAGCTTAATATATCCTTTGCCCTTCTTGTATACAAATTTGTTTCATAACCAGCTATAATAACATAATATAAAATACTTTTGCATCCAATACAGTCCCTGTAAAGTCAAAATTCCCCAGTTCATGATTGGACATGCTTATTAAGTGACAGCTGTGCATATATAAAAGAAATTACTATTAATATCAACAAGAGTTAAACTGGCTCACAGTTAAAGTTGTACATCACTTTAATGGCATCACTGAACAACACAGCACCTTTCAAGCTCATATTAGATCAAAGAAATTGCATTCATTCAAGTGGCTTAGTGAAACTTAATTGCACTAACAGGTGGGTCAAACAAATAAAACATTTCCCCACAAGGATATTTATTATTTTAGGAATTCTCACACATGGTACCCAAGAGACTATTTCCGGAACCTCCCTCATCTCATTCACAGTTACTTAACTGCCATATAACAACCGTGGCAATAGCTTTCTTGAGGAGGCAAGATTAAGCAAATATTCAGTGTATTTTTTCAGATGCCTTTTTAATGTAGATAACAGCACAAAACTGAAGGAAGAGCAGCAGCAGTTGACCAACTAGCTCTTTGCACACCAACAGGAGGTACTCTGTGGATTAGTACAAGAATGTCTATACTAACTAATACTCACTTTATGTAGCACCTTTTACACTTTTGAAAGCTGTAGTCCCTGTGATGTAGGCAAGCTTTCTTTTTTCTTCAGATGAGTAAAATGAGGGACTGTGGGTTAAGTGGCATGTCAAAGTTCTTGGAAGGTATGTCTATATTAGAGGTCAGCAGCATTTTTGGGGCAGGGTGACAAAACACCTGCAACCTTGACTTGTAAGATGGTGGGGGAGCCATGAGAGGCCAATCCTTGTTGTGGCAGTGCAGCCCCAGTCCCTTCTCTACCATCCACCTGAGACGCACATGCCAAGCAAAACATCTTTGCAAACCACTTTCTGGCAACTGTGCTGCAGGTTGCTTACCTATGGTCTATAGTGCAGTCCCAGAAGCAATTGCAGGGCACTGCAAGCATACCTGAGCTAGTTTAATAGTCCAGCTGCTGCAATACAGCATGGAGCTAAGAAGCAAGGTAAATTAGATTATGCTGATACCACAAGTTACACTGCTACCTGTACCCAAGCCAGATAGCTTAAAACTAGCAGGGACATCCAACAACATTGCAGTCACTTCCATAAGTGCACTGCAGACCTGCAGAGTGTCAGTGGCCAATCTAGATTCCTGACTTCGGGGGGGGGGCTCTGTAACCATACATGTCTTTTGTTTTTTTGTTTGTTTGTTTGTTTTTTGTAACCATTAGATGGCACTCCCCCCTCCATGTAATCTACCCTTTGATACTTAAAGGGATGGCCTCTTTGATTCTCCTGCTTCAGTTCCCTCCCCCAGCATAAGAATCATAGAAAATTAGGGTTGGAAGGGAGCTCAGGAAGTCATCTAGTCCAACCCCCTAGTCAAAGCAGGACTAACCTGAACTATATCATCCCACCCAAGGTTTGTCTAGCTGCGTCTTAAAAAGCCCCAAGCATGGAGATTCCACAAACTCTCTGCAGATACACATGGTTAAATGCAGTTTTGCATGAAGGTGTGCTGCAAAGGCTTCAACTTAAAGGGAAACTTAAAGGGAAAGCCCCTCCAATCAATCAATGCACTGTTTGAGATTCCAAAGGGAAATTTTGGCTTGGATCCAGAATGCATACCAGCTCCCACCATAAACACAGATGCACCTACCCTCTTACCCTTCTAGAACAGGTTTCCATAACATATAATATAGCTTGTCCTTTATCAAAATATTAACAACCTACCTTAAAATGAACATGAATATGGTCTCTAAGCACGTCCACCCTGAAAAATTTACGTCCACAGATTTCACAGGTATACTTCTTGTCTCCATGTGTCAGAAGGTGTTTATTCATATTGCTCCTACATGAAAAGACCTAGAGTGGAAGAAAACATAGAAGGAATTTTTCACATCTAAAGGAACACTGGAGCTATTCTTGGTTTATTTTGCAGTTGGCACAGGGCATATTTAATACTGCTTTCCTACAGATACATGTCACCCAGCCCAGAAGCAGTATGTCTGTATTTAACAGCAGAGTTCTCATTATCTATTCAATACTGGACTGATGCAAAATTCTATTAACACGACAAAATATGCATATATAGGTACCCAAAGCATTCACAGATATTTTTTGCTTACCAGGTGAAACAGAATGATATAGACTACGTTAGGAGAAATAAGGGAGGGCTCTTCTGTCTGTTACTGACACTTAAGTAGAGTTGGAGTTAACAAAAAATAAAATGACTATTAACTTGAAGTGAGCTCTTACACATGAAAACTCTGATTCAGCTGGTCTATAACAGTGGTTCTCCACCTTTTTAGTCAAGGCACCCCCGAATAGACTCAAGGGAACCCTAGGAAAATGCCAATTTTTAGCTTTTACTTTTTTATTTTCCTGTAGTCAAAAACAAGCAATTTTGCAATTGCAAACAACTGAAAAATAACACAACAGGTCAGAATGTTTTTAACATTATGGATTCCTATTTGAAATATCTGGGCCTGTGAATCATGTGTGCATATACACCCAACAGTGACATTGTACAGTGCCCCACAACACCCATGAAAGGATCTCTGGCACCCCAGGGTGCAGCAGCACCCTGCTTAAGAATTACTGGTCTATACTTTTATCTCTACCCTGCCTTCTGTCTGACTCCGGTCTAACATAGCCAACTACTATATTTACTTGAATCCAAGATAAGGTCTGTTTTCCACCCCCCGCCCGCCATTCAGCATGGAGGTAGAAAAGCCTTATCCTGGATTCAAGTACAGGAGCCAGAGATCAGAAGCCAGGGTCATAGCTGTTCCTGCTGCTGCTGCCTGGCTGGAGCCAAGATGGCTTACACAGTGGGGGAGAATGGGGAGTGTGAGGGAGACTATGTGGTGCAGGGAGGGAGGTGCACCACATGGGGTGGACCCTGTGGTGTGAGTGGGTGGGGAGTGGTTGGACCTGAGAGGAGGAAGGGGGAGACTACAGCAGCAGGGAAGCTGTGGTGTCTATGACTCCAGCCCTGACCCAGGGCAGAGGCCTGGGCCAAAGCCAGAGCTGCTGAGTTCCTGACTAGTTGGGGTCAGGGCTACCATGTGATCTGTGCCCTAGGCTGGAGCCAGAGCTACTGCATATGGTAAACTTAACTTAATCCAGACTAAGAGAGGTAATGGACAGACAGACATCTCTGAAGAATTATAGTTCATGATATTTGTCCATTAGGCTTTGTTTAACACAACTTTAAATGCTCAGTACAACCAGCTACAGAGCCTGTGCTGGAACCCCATACCTGCCACTGATAGATTTTTTGGTACTTGAATGCAAAGCTTCACTGCATGCACTGGCAAAGAAGCCTACCTTTCCACACACTGGGCATCCTGATGGTTCCTTCTTGTAGCGGACCAGGTTCTCTGCGCTGTGCTCAAAATCTTCTCTTTTCACGCGCCTCACCCCTTAATGGAACAGTCCCCATCAAAAAAAATACAAATAAAATAAACCATGGTTTCCAGTCTAAACTGTATGACACTTTGACTAAACACTATGCAGAACAGTGATACACAGAAGTGGTGCTGTCTGCATGATTTTGGACTCCTAATGAAAGGATCAGTGCTTACTTACAATGGTGAGAGGTGGCTTAAAAGTACAAGAGATTTGTTGAAGATACATTTCATTTTCCTATTGGTTGCTGTGCCAAATAAGTACTCAAAATTAGGATTTCCTAGGCCTGTAAACACTGGGAACTTTGTAGGAGAGGAACAGGAGATGGATCAGTCTGGACAGGTCCTGCATAAATTCTCTGCCTTGACATGCACTCTGTCACTGTGAGAGAGAGAGAAAGAAAGGATACTGGGCTACAGGGACCTTCACCTGACTCGGCATGGCATTTTTCATGTTCTTACCATACCAAATGCCTATTGTAAAAACTCCTCCAACCAATCAAAGGCCCAGTGGGAGCTGCTAGTGCTCAGCAACCCAACAGTTGGCCTCTTCATGTTCAGTGAGGATACCTATTACCCCTGAAGCAACTTTCAAGAGGAAAATAAGGGCTCTTGCTTCTATACCCGAGGAGAGAAGAGGTTCTATGACAGTGTCTCTGAACCCTCTGTCATCAAGACACAAAGTGGGGGATGAGGCTATTGGCATGGAGAACAGAACTATGCCCAATTCCATGGTGGGGCTAGGACCCCAGACTACCTTAACCATGTCCTGTTCTAAATTACTGATAGTACCATCCCCAAAATGCAGAGCATTAAGAGGCAGAAATTTTGCTGCATATTTTTTTTTAAATCTTTTTTCTGTGGCTGTCAGCTTCAAGGATTAATGGCCTAATTTTCTAAATGTGCTGAACACCTGCTGTTCCTGTGAACTTCAATGGAGCTTTGGGGTTCTCAGTTCTTATGGTCTTATTTTCTGACCTGGAATCAAGCATTAAGTGCTCATCTGTTGTGTTGGTCTTAAACCCATTTGTATTCTTCCAAATGGATTTGTACTTAGTTGCTGTTGTCTTATTCACAATGGAAAACAGCAACTCATTGAACAAACTTTCCAGGTGCCACAGACATTTCAAAAGGCACATAGATTTTTAAGGCCAGAAGAGGTCATTATGATCACCTAAGGCTGACATAGAATCACAAAAAATTAGGGTTGGAAGGGACCTCAGGAAGTCATCTAGTCCAACCCTCTGCTAAAAGCAGGACCACCCCCCCCAGCCAGATCATTCCAGCCAGGCTTTGTCAAGTTTCATAGTAGCTAGGGTCAGGAGGGACCTGAACAGATCATCTAGCCTGACCCCCTGCCACAGGCAGGAATGAATGGTGGGGTCACAAGACCCCAGACAGGTGATCATCCAACCTCCTCTTGATTTTGCCCAAGGTAGGGGCGAGGACCACCTG